ACTGTATATGTTAAAGTAAAACAGCAGCAGGACACAGTACAAAGGGTTACTGTGCACCAGTACCAGTTGCTCACTATTGTTGAAAAAAATTAGATGTTATGTTTAATGAATTTGGTTTTGCCTCATACAAAACTGTTAAGGAAACTAACTTTTTTATATCCTAGAGTAATAGACATTTTAATGTACATATAGTTTTTCAAATAGAAGCTACATTTAAATCGAACATCAGCTGAACTGAAAAATTTTTGTCACTGCACTGTATTGTTTCAAATTTTGCTGTATTATTTTTGCATCGAATCATGGACCATGTATCAAGATAAGGATTGAATCATGTGATGAGATACACACCCCTAATGAAGAAATTTGTTAAGGTATCGCTGTACCTTTAGTCGGGTGCTGGTGAGCTGCAGGAAGTCCACTTCGCTGCTTGACTTAAGCTGCTCCATTTCCATATTTTCCAGGGTTTGGATGTTCCTGCGATGCAGCTGAATCAACTCATACATGCAATTTAGCACAGCCACAACACTGAGCTCTGAGGGGCTGGCCGACACGGCCCAAACTGGTGGGAAGCCAAGAGATGATATCTCCTGTAAAATCCAGAGCATATACAGCATAAAGTGAAGGAAGCGATGGTTACAGTGAGCTACCATTAATATTTCTCTAATTTTTTGCATCAGTGCTGTCTTGGGAACTCTGTATTCATATAGCAAAAACTCAGTAACCATCCATCCATCCATCTACCCAGCTTATCCGAGTTTGGGTCGTGACAGCAGTAGGTTAGTCTAGGGGTCCCTCTCCCCAGCAATGGTTTTGATTGAATGGCTTGTACCAGAGGTACAAGGCTCAGTCATAAGTCTTCTCCAAGTCCACAACACACATAGAATGGATTGGCAAAGTGACTCCTCAGAAAGCCTCACAAGGACCAGGGCCAGAATCTGCATTACTCCTTCTGAATCTGAGGTCCAGCATTATAGCTTCCCTATGTATAGTGGTGGCTATGGCTATGGTAGAGTGGGTAGTCTAACCGTAGGGTCAGCGGTTCAATCTTCACGAATACTGTCTCCTCACAGTAAAAAGGCTCTGGTTCAAACCTTCCTGTGGCCTTTCTACTTTGCATGTTATCCTTGTGCAGGTTTCCTCCAGCTATTCTGTCTTCCTCCCACAAGCCAAAGGCATGCAGGCTAGGTTAGGTGGCAACTCTAAACTGCCATAGGTGTGCATGTGAGTGCAAGTGATTGTCTGTCTCCATGTGTCACCTGTGTAATAGAATGACAACTTGCCCAGGGTGTATCCCACCTCTCACCCACTGTCAGCTGGCATCAGCTCCAGCCTAGACCCTCTGAGGGATAAGATGCATAGCTTAGATAGATGGATGGATTCTATACATATGCACAAAAATGGCAGAAAACAAGCCTTTTCTTCAGGTTTTCTTGATTATTTTGATTTTTTTCAAACAAGTAGAATGACTGCAATTGTAGTCATAGTATACATCGTCTTACACCACAAGACATGAACATTCATATATCAATACCTGTGCTAATACTAAAATCAAAGATGTACGGTTACCAACCTGACTGATATGTGACAGACAATCTTGCACATTGTGCTCTGTGCAGAAGGTACTGAGCATGGAGGAGTTTCTATGCTGTGGCAGCAATGACCGGCTGAAGTGCCTCACGGGGGATGTTCTACATTCAGGGGAGCTGCTGTGAAGGTGCCTGACTTCAGGGGAAAAAGTGTGTCAGATATACAGTTCATAGGCCTATGGTAATTTGTTAATGTTTGTCACAAAAACTAAGTATAGCATTCATCTGACATCCAGGTCCATTTATCTCTTCCTTGTTCATAAGACAGAGGTCAAAATTATACCTGCAGACAACTCCTGTAATTCAGATAATCTGACTAATGAAAAATAACCTAAGTCAAATTACAAAATTTATACAGTGCTCCTCAACATATAAATGTTGTATGTTGGTAGAACTTAGGTTTTTTTCTAACATCTACAAAGAGCTGATCAATATGTCTGATTCATGATGCATATGAAGTGATGTTAAAAGATAAAAACCTTACCCAGGGAGGACTCTGGCATTGTTGCAGTGCAGGTTTTAGGCTGCGTGTCTAGATCCCCTACTACATGTACAGGATACACAAAAGATCCACCTACGTAGTCAGCTCCTGAAATAGAAGGTCAGATTAACAGCACCCATTCAACACCGTCTGGACTACAACATGCAATGGTGATGGGTGGAAATTTACAGTAACATACTTTAAATAACAGAGTGCAAGTATGTCATGATGGCTAACTGTGTGTTTGCCACAGGTAATAAAATAAACAGTGAACACAGGATACTTACAATCGTTCTGTAGATTCTTTAAACCCTTTACTAAAAGGTGGACTTATTTAGTCTTTAACAGAGCTCATTATGATTATTACACTACTGTAGCAGGATACAGGTTGGTGGCAAGCCAGCATCTTATCAACAGCTAATCAGACTAATCCCAGATAGGCAGTATAAGCATTTCTTTCCAGTGCCACACAATCAGAAACACCACAAAAACCTTTTTCATTGTGTAGGAAAAATGCCAATATCAACAGACATACTACTGTGTGTACAGTTATTTAAAACAATTATAATTTACACTACCTCAGGAGAGCAGTTATCACAACATGAGCAGAAGTTAGATTCAAAAACTTTATTTTTCCCCTCATAAAGAACAGTTTGTGGACTTTGTTTTTTTTTTTGTTTTTTGTTTTTTTACATATTTAGTCATGAGAGGACTAACTCAGTGGATCAACCTTTGGGTTTAGTGATACAGTAATCAGTCCGGTGAAACAGATGGTAAGCCTCCAACCACAGAGCTTAACAGGCAGGCCTTGGCCCTGCTTAGACCGACTACTTGACAAATGTTAACCTTTAAATTATTTAGGCATAAATACAGTATAAGATTTCCAATATGAAATTTTAAAGTATGTGTTTACACAATGAATTTTTTTGGTTTGTGATTCCACTAAGGCAAGGTATTTGACGGAATCACAGGAAACAGGTTAGGCCTACCCTCATGCCAATCTGTCTACTACACCTAAAAGCATAATGCAGCCCTGCGATGAATACTTTTTGTATGTTTTGTTTTCCCCCCAACATTTAGTCTCCTCTTCTTGATTTGAAAGGGTTAAATGTTATAAACGCCTGTCAATATAATCCAATGCCAAGATTAACAGCACCACAAACAACAGGCTCAAAAATGACCATGAATTCAACACCTTTCTAAAACATTTCAACCATTATAATTAAAGAATGTAGGACTGTGTTCTAGTTCTGCTACAGTGGATGCGCCTAATAAACCGCGTCTGAGAGCATATTAAAAGCCTAGAAAGAACGGTTACACTTTCAATACAACACATTTTAGATTTCATCTGAAAAGAGAACCTAACTTTAAGTGAGCTACTTAAACTGACATCCGAAGAAGCCTGCTGTTGCTGGGACTTGTCAGAAAAAAGCTGCATAAAGACTGATTTAAGTGACCAGAGATTATAACTAGGTTAACTATCTTATGTACGCGAAACAAAAGCTAGCTGGTGTCTCAGTGTGGAGCAAGTAACGTTATAACGTTAAATTATGCGGCTGATGTCGGTGATAATGTAGTCTTATATCAGTCTAGGGTTAATTTGCGACTTCCCACTGACAGCTACTGTTAATAACATCATTAAAATAAAGCAAAGGTTATACAGGGCCTTTACACAGGAGTCAGAGATAAACTAACTTTAGCGTTACCAACTGTTACGTCCCACCTGAGAACGGCTGACTACCTTAGCCAGACAAATTGACTACATACGGAAGCAGACAATATGTATAATTTATGAGGAAATAAATGACATAATTGAGTTCCGAGCACTTACTTAATGTTGCAGTTGGCAAAATATTTCCCAACTGCTACTGTAGCCTATTTGCTTCCTGACACAGGTGCATCTTCTTAAGCCGTGTTTGTCCAAATGACAGTACAAGCCACTGCACGCAAACCAAACAGCACGCTAATTGGTCGACTGGTTGTCTAGCAACCAAACATGGCTCTATGTGATTGGCTGTTGTTCGTAGAACGCTTTCAAATGTTTAAAACAGCAATTACTTTTTAATTATACCATTCATTCATTCATTCATTCATTCATATTGTTAAACCAGTTTCATAAAGAACACGGAGGGCAAGCATTTCATCGTGGAATAATTTGAGGTAATGATCAATGAATGTGATATTTTTATGTTCTTAAAATAAAAAACCTTTGCATTCAGCTCTATATTATGAAATACCAGCCAAAGTCAATAACTGTAAGGTGCAAGACTTCCAAAATGTCAGGTAGTGACATAATGAAGTGACTGTCAGTGACTGTATTGCTATACTATTCTCTGCATCAGATAGAACCAGATAAATACACCTTAGAAATGAACAAAATTAAAGTAACCTTAATGCAAATTATAAAATCACTGAATATAAAACTAATGCAATAAAATAATTAGTTGCACTGCACAGTAAGCAACTGTACATTATTTTACATGAGTAATTTGTAAACATTTAGTGTGCATCAAACCCCCTCAGCATCAACAAGGCATCTCAATCATTCAAAGCAAACTTACATCTAGCTTTACTGGAAGACTTTCCAAATTACATGGAATACCATTTTTAGGAAAATCAGCATTTTCAGAGCAGACATGCTGACTTGCCATAGCAGAAAAAGCAAGTTGGAACTACCAGTAGCTTATTTTGTTAGTTTTCCAGGAAGCAACACCAGCAAGTAATCATGTGAGGTACATGGACTCTAGATGGTAAAATAAAATGGAAATAGCCCTTGGTCAAGTAGTTTGAAATGAAAGGAATCAAGTGCTACTTTGTAGACCAAAGATGGATTTTAAGTTCTCTGACATGTTAAGAGAGGGCTATCTAGAACTACAACGATGAACAGCACAAAATTAAATTAAATTCATGATAAGTTTCATCTCATAATTTAATTGCATAATTTCTGCACTTTTAACCCTAACATACCAGACACAGTTCACTAAGCCTGGTACAAGTGGCACAGGGACTCCTCTGGATTCAGTTGTTCTGCGCGGTGACTCTGTGTGACTGTGTGTCTTCAAGCCACCACGTTGTCATCTCCCCCTTGCCCTGTTTGATCAAGAAAGATGAGAAAGTGAGAGACTGGAGGAGAGAGAGGAGAGTCATATTGCAAAGCATGTGTTCCTTTGAATATTAAATAAAGACATTAGGGTTTGGGGGAGGGGTTAGAGAGCAGCAGCTGTGGCCCTGTCCAGTGGGACTGAAAAGCAGAACCCTCCCCCATAATCACACAGGCACCATCTAAAATGAGGTCTCAGATTACAGTGTGAATAGAAGCCAGTAGAACTAGATAATACAATACTTTCCTTTAAAGCAAATACCATACACACCCAGTCTATTTTCCTTTAGAGGGATGTTGTAATTTTCCTGTGATCTTTTAAAACCTCATAAATCCCTGATCTGTTTTAGTCCATTTCAAAGATGGTACGCCAGCTTGCATGTAATTATTGTTGCATTGGTTTTAAAAATAACTACCTGCACAAATGTTTATATCAAGCAAGACAGAAATAACATTATATGCAAGGAAACAACCATGTCTGGACAATCAGCCATTTTTCCATGCCACAGTACAAAACAAAACACACAATTTTTGTTTTATTCTGTTTCTGATGTTAAATCTAACCTAAACTTAACTGGATTTTAATGTTATTTATTTTTAATAGTTGATCAATTGGCAAATGTAATCCCAGCATCTTTATGTATAAGCATCGCCTAATATCCCCACTCTGTAGACACTGTAAATGCCATTAATGTCACTGAAGGTGGCGTAGAACCGGTTGAGGAAGCCCACTACCTGGCGGGGAGTGCTGGTACCAGACAGCTGAGTAAATCTGACAATATCACTGTCACAGTGTTAGTCATCACTACTTGATCTACTTTTATGTAACCAAAAGAAACAAATTCAAGTACAATTAAAATATTAAAATAAGAAGAAAATCTTTAGCTTAATGATCACAAACCTGTGATCAAGTAGACAGTGGCAAATTTAATGGCCTGATATACTGCTGCCTCCACATGTCTAGAAAATGTTTTGCATCAGGCAGAAAGGGGTGAATGAAGCAGCAACTTCTGCACCACCAGATGGCAGCAAGAGCAGCTGAGTGTGTTTTATCAAACCTCATTTATTAACTACTACACACACTGGGTTACTGGACAGGAATAGCTGCTTCTCATACAGCAGTAACCCTCCCTTTACAGCACTATAAAAAGTCCATACTACTGATTTTATAGTTTACCATTTACCATGCATTATAATCCCTGTCCAGCTTGTTTCAGATATATTGTTTTCTCTGCTATGTCACAATGAATACCCATGCCTATAAGTTGTACTCGACTGATAACATGATTCTGTTTGGAATTAATCACTGCAGTAATGCAACTCTTTACTCCTTGCTGTTATTCTAACTTACTGTATAACAGTCTGTCTTCTGTTTGTCCTGCGTCCTCTCGGCTACTATGGCCTCCAGATTTTTGCTGTACTTCTCCATCTGCAATTAAAGAAATGTTGCATCTGAAACTTACAGGAAGCCAGATGGCTCAAAGAACAGTTGAAAGTTTTTCTTAGCATATGTGTTAGAAATACAACATGGGTATGCTGGAGGTTTTTGTCATTTGTAGGAGTTGCATTACTCCATATCTTAATATTGAGCAGACACAATGTGTCTTTAGATCCTTGTTATGTCACATTATTTTACCATATTTCAGCAGGTTATTACCAGGTTCATCATCATATCCACTGGGCTGAGTGTGTGGGATTGTGTCAAGCATCTTCTTCACCTGCTCAAATAAAGGTCTAATGGTGACACTGTCAGACCAGCACTTCTTAATGAGCTTCTCAAGTATTCAAAAAGACAGTAAGGCATGATTTTTTTCTGGAATTATCCAACAAATTTATATTCAGTCCTCTACACGTGTAATGTAATTCCAATATTTGCACATGTGCCAAACCTCACAGTAGCCTCCTTGACTGAGGTGGTAATTATCTCCCTTCCCTGCCCTGAGTTTAGGCAAAGGGGGGGGGGGCGCCACATTATATCCATCCTCACTCCCTCAGCCTGGTCCTGTTGGAGAGGACTGCTGGCTACAAAGCAAAGATCAAAAGCAACCCCAAGGTTGTAATCTGCAGAGAAGGCTGTCATACTCACTGAAATGAGGTCGGAGCAAGTTGCAGTCTCAACCAGAATCATGGAGTAGCTGAGGAGAGGAGGGAAAAATAGAGACGAGATATCATTATCCAAGTTTTTTCCAGTTACTAAGGTTCAACAGAAACACTGTTGATATGTATAGAGATGCTTGTCTGTCCACCATATCTCTATGTCTTTAATCTAACTGTATAAAATTCATGTTGTCCAAATATTATAATCTTAAATCAAGGGCTTTTACTACAATTAACTCCTTATACAGTTGCATTGAAGCACACCTGCAGATGTTTGCTTCTTGTATCATATTGCAGCTGTTTCCCTGCAGGATCTCTGGGCCACAGTCAATGCAGTTTGCATCCCCATAGTTGAAGCAGTTACTGAAGGCCTCAAAGTCCTTTTTTCTGAGGGCTGTGAGCCAAATCTGGAGCCAAACACAGCGACACAGGATGTTGTTTATCATGGTGCATATGTGGCTGACTCATGCAATGACTCCTTTAAAGTGACTTTATATAAAGTGTTTTTGGTGTTATTTAAACTGAGTTTGATGAGTGACTCATTGCATATGTGAAATTCTGATAACAGAATACATAAATGACAGAAATCAATTAACTTGACTTGACACACAAATAAAAAAGACGTCTGGAGACTCAGGATTGCTGGATGGTGAGTTTTATTGTTTGATACCTGAGATTTTGCACACCCAGCGGTCATCAGTAACACAGTTTCTGGAGTGAAGTCTCTCATGAAACATCTTGCGCCGGTGGAGATTTGCCATCCCACAGGCAATGTCAGTGGCAAATGTCAAATGGCAACTTCTGTATGGGGAAAGATATTCTACTACAATCAATGGTAATAAAAAAAAAAAAAAAAAGGACATGTGAATATACACTGTTTATACAATGACCGGCCACTTTATTAGGTACATCTTGCTAGTATCGAGTTGGTGTAAAGGTATGCACATGGTCAGCAGCAATACTCAGGTAGGCTGTGGCATTTAAACGATGCTCAAAATATTTTGTCTTTTTCAGACCATTCTGTAAACCCTAGACATGGTTGTGATGAAAATCCCAGGAGATCAACAATTTCTGAAATATTCAGATGAGCCTGTCCAACAACCATGGCACGTTCAAGGTCACCTAAATCACATTTCTTTCCCATTGTGATGCTTGGTTTGAACTTCAGCAGATTGTCTTGACCATGTCTACATGTCTAAATGCATTGAGTTGCTGTCATGCAATTGGCTGATTAGATATTTGTGTTGACAAGCAGTTGAACAGGTGTACCTAATAAAGTGGCCAGTGAGTTAAGTTTATATAAAATGGTTATGCCATATCTGCAACACTAAAATACAATACTCTATGTGTCATAAATTGCAATAGGGTCTATTGCTATATCTGTGTTTTCTCTTGTGTCTCTGGTAAATTGTGGTGTAAATTACTGAATTTGAATGGATCCCTCCTCGTCTGAAAGACGGACAACAAACTTCCTGTTTACATCATCAAAATACATTTGGTATTTTTGTAATGTTTTGGATATGTTTTGGAATTAGGGTAGGAAATCATCAATAAATCTCTCATGTACTCAGTAGAAAGCAGTGACTGGACCAGTTTTAAATCATTAACATGAACTCAACTGTGCAAATTCTTGTAACACCACAATCAAAACAGGTGTTTGGTGCTACTGCTGCTACTTGTAATAAAAAAGTAGACTGAGAACAAGTAGAATGTCACCTAAATGGTCAGTATGTAAATGAAGATGCTTGGATGTAAGGTTTTCTGTCCTGAAGTAATTAAGTGGTAATTAAGTACTGAATTAAACAGTACGGTATTCACACAGTACAAATCACTGATGCCCAAAATGCTTCAAGTACAAATACAGCTACATTAAGAAATAAATATTTGTATAAAAGTACATATTTTTCTTGCAAGCAGTATAACTTGTGTCGGTCATCTAGGTTTCTACCAGCAAGTATAAAATTAAGTTAATCTTTGCAACTCAGCTGATAGTGCAGCAAGTGTTTTGAAATAAACACTTATCTTACTGCAAGGCCAAACACATGTTCATGTTTGTCTAATGTTCCTTCCCTAATGTGGCTGTGCGCTTATTCTCTTTTTCTGCTTGATAACCTATTTATATATTGATGCACTTCATTTATTTTGTACTAATGTGGTTTTGCAAGATCTTCCCTGAACAGCAGAGGCATTTATTCAGCACAACAAAAAATGGAGACTATAACAAACTGACCTTGGATGTTAACAAGAAGCACTTTGGACCCCAGAGCTACATGTCTGTACAATTTTTATATCAGCAGTGACTGGATGGATCAGTGCCACCTTGTCCTGGCTGTGAGTTAGGTTGTCAGCAATATCATTTACGTTTGCTGTGTTAATAGGAGAGTTTAAAACAAAAAATCCGAAAAATGCTGATCAGCACTGTAAAATAAACCAACAAAATAATGTTAAACTTCCCGTCACTAGATTAAATTAAATACATGTATGAAAAACAATTTAAATGTATGTAAACCTGTTATTCTATCCCTCAGATAATTGCTACACTTCACTACACTATGCCACGACTTGAAAATAAGGTAGATACATAAGGTAGATGTATGTGTCAGTGTTTGAACTCTTTGTCTTATAAGAGACTATTCACTAAACTTACATTATACATGAATCCATTGGTTTCTTTTTTTTACTTGGCTGTCTCTACTTTTAAATAAACAATCATGTGATGAGCCACAACCCAAAGTATGACCTACTTGTAATTCCCTACTAGCACACAAATAATTACAACCTGCTGCCATGTGGAATAGTGGCATACGAGCATAACAGACTATAGGCATCACAAAGGATGTTTTGCACTGATAGAATCCATGTCTTTTATGTTTGCCTGGCTAGAAGATGAATTCTCCTTCAGGCAACAGTTAATGTTGAAGATTAGCATCTGCCATTTAACAGATTCTACCCAGAAAGTCTGAGAGAAATATTTTGAAGAAGTATATAGTGATTTGTGAAATGTTTGATAGCACAGGATCTTTTCTTTTCTTGGTGACTTTATAATGATACATAAAATGATGTACAGTATTTGCAGGCCTTAACATGGTATACATATGGTTCTGTAGGAAAATAATACAAACGTTCTCCAACCTCAGCACATTTAAAATGACTGTTTTGTTTACAGAGTTTTGCATGATCAACTCACCTCTGAAGTTCAGTATTTCTGGGTCATCTTCCCTGCTTTGAATGCAGTGTGTCACTACTGTACCATCATCAGGACTCCACAGGCCACAGATTGCATCGTGTTTCTGTGAAGAAACAGAACAACAGTTTGGAGAGGGGTTAGTCCAAAATGCGGCCTTTACACAGTTCACTTGTATGTTAGGGTCAGGGTTCAAGTCACTATCACTAAGGTTCAACAAGTTGTGTGCACACGTGTGTGGATACGTCACTCTTCATTTCTGCACCAAAGTTTCAGCTTTAGCCAAGATTTGAAAGGTTTGATTGTGTGCAATGAAAAATAGGATCAGACATGACATGACATTTATGTTTGTGTTAAAAGGCCCAAATCTTAAGAGAACCCCCATAAAACTTAACTTCTAGGCCAGTTTTCACACCAAGCAGACCCTGGCTATGAGAGGAACATGTCATTTTACTACATAATGCTTTAAGTGATTGTTTACAAATGCCTTATCCTCTTAGACATCAGACACTCATAACTAGTAGACAAAAAATAAACTGAACTGGGGGAATGGAGTGATGAAAGGCACAAAATGTGTATAATGATTCCCTTTGATGTAATGGAGCATCCACCAGAAACATTTTAATATTTTAAATTATCATACAGATAAAATGAGTTGGAATATAAGTTATTAAGTGATACTATGAAATGTTGCTGAAGCAAACGGTTAGGAGAAAGATCATATTTGTTTGCTTTGTTTTATTATATTAGGAGAAGATTATTGTGTTGACACCAGTGTTGTGCGAAGTTGTGCGATGCTCTGATGGGCACCAGCCATGAGGCCCAGAGCACAGGGCTGGATGTTGGCGTGATACACACAGCAGTTCACGTCACTAGTGTTGTTCCAGTTTGCCAGGCACTCGAGCTCATGACGGAACCACTTTGCCTCTGATGCCTCAAGAGAAGCAAATATAGGTGGGTAGACAATTCTCTGATGAACAAAGCACCTGGTGATGCTATTTACAGTGTAAACTCAAACAAAAGCCAGAGGATTTTCTTGACTTTCTTAGAACATGAAAATAGGTTTATTCAATATTATAACAAGAATCATCTTTAGATACACATTTGTAGTTGAGTAAAAGCCTTTTTTGTTCTAAGGCACAGAATTTCATACTTAAAGTTATGTAACTAGCTTTAGTTACTTTTTTGAGTTTATTTCTGATTATTTTAAAAACACACACATTAGTTCTGTGGTGAAGAAGCAGTATTCCAAGTGTACTTAGTACATTTCTCTGTACAAGTGTGTTTATTCTGGGCAAGGCAGACCTGTAGTATTCCAGGTGCTTATGTAGCATAGCTCACTAGAACTGGAAAATCTTGTTCCTTACTGAATATTTGTCGAAGAAATCTGAGGCTAAGACATTGAACTCCTCCCCATTGGTTGCTGCACCCTGGCCACTTCTACACGTGCACGTCACCTGAAGGTAAACATTCAGAGTACATATGCATACAAAAGGGGACACTGTGTGCTGTATTGGTTTGTTTTCACAAGCAGCTGCACTTCATTGCACCCCACCTCCTAAGTTACTGTAGTTAATTCTGGAGAAACACCGTCTCCTTCCTGCTCAGCCGGAGCAGGAAGATCATCTGATTTTAAAGTAAACTGTCAAATCACCAAAGACGGACATTAACAGTTTCAGCTACAATGACATTCTTTCACAGACAGAGACAGGCTAACAAAAAAGACTTACCACTGTAGCTCATCATGTTGTAATCATTTGGGTCAACCAACAGTTGCACTGTGTTGCCCACATCATGGCAGCAATGAACTCCCTGCAGGCAAGACAGGCAAGATTTGTAGAGGATTTTTTTCTCTGTTTATACACAATGTCTGAGCCTGACAAATGTAGTTTGTTTGAAATCCGTGAGACGGGGCTAATCACGTCAGTATGTACATAGATTACATACATAACGCTGTAGAGCCTGGATGGCTTTGAGCCAAAATGATAAAAAGTGAAATCAAACAGCCAAAATCAGCAACACAAGCAAAAACACTGTGATGAAAAAAAAAGTAAAAGAAAAATCACAGCAATAGCTTTTAATTAAGAAATAAAATATGATAAGTTTTTTTAAATAACTGAGTTAATTGTCCCTACAAGAAAGCAGCAAGTAACACAGCAATACCCTGATGCACCACAAGCCCTGACCACATGTCCCAGCAGCATTTCTGATGACAAAAACAAAGGGGGGTCCTTCGGCACTAAGTGAAAACGTATCAAAAACTCAGTTTATGCAGTTGTTTATATTAAATCTGCTGTTGTGTTAATATTTGTAAATACTCCATAAAGTATAAACGAACTTACCAGCAGGAAACCGGTGGAGGAATGCTGCTGTCCGAAAAGCTGCTGTGGCAGGACCGAATGACCCGACTGACTGTGAGTGAATAACCAGATTTGTGTGTGTGCGCAGTCACCTATTAACAAAGCTAGAGTACCCTAACCCCATATGTGTGTTCCTAAAGACCTTGTCCAATCACCAGAAGAGCCTCTCGAATTGCCTTGACTGATTTTGTGGTCTCTTCCAGGATGACAATGCAAATATAGACAGGGAAACGAGGAGAATCACTGAATCTTTTAGTGAGTATCAAAATGATGTAAATCATCATGTATAGGCCTTTACAGTCAGATCACAACCCAGCTGAACACTTAAGGGAGTTAACGTCTCTACCACAATCACTGAAACACCAAATGAGGGAAGAATGGTGTTCATCCCTGTAGTAGAGTTCAGAGGCTTATACAACCAATGAACACTGAAGCTGTTCTGGCTGCACATGATGGCCCAACAACATAATGAGATACTATGTTTTTTTCTTTAAATTTCCATCGGATAACCATGTATCATGAAATTAAAGACCCTAGAAATTTGACAGGGGATTTTTATTACTGCACATTTTGCTGTTGAGGCCTGGCCATTGTGGCACAGTGGATATTTATACCATACCCCAATTTTCCACCTCTGCCTACATCTGTTTGCCCTGACATTTAGAACAAACCAAAAGACAGCCTTTATGAACATCTGTGAAATTTAATTGGCTTTACAGAAATGCATAATTACAGCACAGCTGTAGAAAAAGGCCTGCCTCGCCCAACTGTGTAAAGTTCATGTTTTTGGAAATGCAAAACCCTGAGTGGCAGGCAGCAGTCAAGGACAGGTCTACTGTGCTGTGCACAGGGCTCTGCTGGGGATATGCAGCACTCACTGCAGTACAGCATACAGTATTCCTAAAGGAAACTATGTGAACATGCTCAGGCCAAACCTTAACCTGAAACAAACTCAGTGCCATTTACATCCTGAACAATTCTCTATGAGCAAAATGTACTGCATTGAACCATTTATGTTTCTGTCAAAGGATGCTGGATGTGTTTAGGGAATTACATGCTGAGGATTGTGTAAGATTTCACTGCATAAAAGCAAGTTATCTAGAGTTACCTAGAGGGAAAAATCAACACAGCTGTGGGTTTGTGGTTGTGAGGAGTGAAAAGGTATGAACAATAGGTTTGCATTTCAAGCATTCAACTTGAGGAAATTTGAGGGAAGGTTTGAAAGATGAACAGGATTTAAAGGCCTTTTGAGAAGAACTATGTACACTATAAGCACGTAAAAAAAATGACTGTGACTTAAATCTGTGCACAGAATAGATTCTTTATAACCTAGATAACATGTATTAATATTTAAAAGAATATCATTTTTGCTTTAGACCACCACCATTTCACAATTTTCTGGACATTCATGTGGTTATTTTCACAGTTTCACAGTTAAATTCACAGAAGGGTCTTGTTGAGACTAAATCTGGTATTAGGAGAATCCTTTCAGTGATATTTTTGTTACATCTACACCAATATTTTACCAAAGCTTTTTGGGTTTACAATTACAAGCAGCCATCATCAGTTAGTGACAGTTAATTTAATCTAAAATTAGAAGAGTCTGACCTAGTCAGACAGGATTTGCTAGAAACCTTATGTTTGGTTTGGCTGAAGTCAGTGCCATGCTGGTGTTGTGTGCAACATTTAAAATGGCCACGGCTGCCCCAGCAGCTCTGTGAGGCTGTAATAAATGCTAACATCAGCATACAGCATGCTGACACTGACAATGTTTGGGTGTTGATGCTTTGCAGATAATGTTTGCCATGTTCACCATCTTAGATTAGCCAGTGTGTTTGCCTGCTAACATTTGCAGGCTAAACACAAAGTAAAGCCGAGGCTGATAGGCATGTTATTAGTTTAGCAAATGAAAGTATTAGGCAAATGAAAATGAAGACCAATTTTGGCATTAGATGAAAAGTGTAGCGATCACAAAAGTTATTGCAGTTCACTTTGAGGAGGACATGAATATCTGCACCAAATCTTAAGACAATTCATCCAGTATTTGTTGAAAGATGTCATTCTAAATCACATATATCAAATCAGGGGGTCACCAAAGTCATATGGATACATTATCTGGATATCACGAATGTCTATTAAATTTTGTGGCAACTCATTTGACAGATGTTCAGCTACGTCACTAGATGAGTGATAACTTTAATTTGCTGGTGACACTTAATGAAAAGTCAGGAGACAGTCAGTAGGATTCATCTTCTAGAGATCATGTCTGTATAAAATTTCATGACAGTCTATCCAGTAGTAGATATTTTAGTCTGGCCCAAAGAGGTGGTCTAATTATCCAACCAACTGTCCATGAGCTCCTCTGCTAGTGTGGCTAAAAGTGCAGTGAACGATAAAAAGTCATACAATTTCAAGACCAAGAATCATTCTGTATATTGTTAGAACCTGCTATTATTATTACATTTTGGGAACTTTGAAGAAATGATTCTGAACTTGATGTTAATACTAGATAACTACTGTGTAAAGAAAGTCATTGTAATCCCTCTGATGAAATTAACCTCTGTGCTTCTTGTCTTTTCTTGCCATATGATCAGGACACAACAGACATATTGTAGGCATTATCATGTTCAATGATTAATTAAAAAACAAAAACAAAAAGCTGTTATGTAACAAACTAGTTATGAAAACACACCACACAGGAATGACTATGAATAAATCAAAAAACCCCACTGGAGCTGTAAACCTTTTTACACGTACAACTCATTTCTACACTCCCAAGAAAAAACTAAATAGCTTTAGTGATATCATGTCCTTTACAGTAGGAGTGGCATAAATACTGTACAGCAGGTTGAAGAATCAGTGAAGAGTTGCTTGACCTCTGTCAATGATTCAGGGATTTAGTTATGGAGTTGTCAGAGCAGCTCGGAGAGGGGCTTCTGTGTGGGGTAATTACACTACTCAATCATATCCTCTTCGGTTCCTGCAGGTACCTCCAGCAGGACTCCACTGTATTGCAACATTAATTTATAATGTCTCCACTTTCAGGTGAGCAGCTGTTTGGTCAGAGCAACAGCAACTATTCAGTGAGTTGAAGCGGATGTATGAAAATGTTACAGGGAGATTTTCCTCCATGAGGCGCTGCAGGTCAAACTTTGTTTGTTCAGATGACCTGATTGAGAAAAGATGGCGGACGAGACAAGAAAGGAGTGACTCTGTGATCTATTCTCCAGGTGGCAAAACTGCTTACAAAAGAAAACAGGGCATGATTATCTAATTAAAACTGCAAATATTGCCAAAACAACAAGATCATGCTGAGCATGCTACTGTAGCTGTCAGACAGTTGAAATTTCTTAAAAATTCATCCCAATACAGGATGTTTAAGTAGGTGCTTCCAGTACAGCAGTTTACAGTATTTGTCACTGGCTGTTTAAAAACAGGAAAACTTTGTCAGACTCGAGCAAAATTATAGTTTTATAGTGCCTGTCTGTAAACAAGTTAAACATGCTTCCACAGAAGCTACAAGGGTGCTAAACCTACTGGATAATTCAGTCAGATGTACACTAAATTTATACTGGTAAACTAACATCCCCCTCTGCATGATGTTTACCCCCTTTGAGGTAATAGTAAAAATGTACCGCTGTGTATTGCACCACACTATCATCCAAGTTTAAAACCCCACGAAGATGTGATGAGGAAGACAGGATGAAAAAGGCTGTTACATTTAAATGGGAGCTGCTGTGTTTCCAGAAACTATAAAATCCTGAATTAACATAAAAAAAATAATAATAATCACATCTTTGTATCCAATTGGGGAATTATTAGTGCATCGGGGTCTCTTTTCTCCAGCTCTGCACTGCAGCTGTTGGCCTGCAGTGTATCTTCAAGACTGTAACCAGAGGGCAACAATGACCTCCGAAGACCAACTGGAGACTAAATGTGTAGTTTCTCTTTCAAGTCAACTCCAATTTCTCTCTTCATAAGGTACATCCAGGGCAGAATTTATCTCTTAACAACTCCCATCTTCAGGTTTTGAGTATGCCCTGATCATCATTTTTCATCTCCTCTGAAGGAGGCTGACTGTTTCCCACATCCTGACCCGAGCTATGTGGCCTGTTGTTCGCTTTTGTCGACCGCTGCCGTCGAGTGCCGTCGTAAACGCAGCACATGAGATTCTTGATGGTTGTCCACATTTCCTCATCCTTGTAGGAGTAAATGCAGGGGTTCATAACGGAGTTAAGTACAGCCAGGAGCAGCAGCCAGCGCTTTAATTTCATGACATTACAGCTCTTACAGTTGAGCCCATCAAGCAGCAGAACCACCAGGCCAGGGGTCCAGCAGATCACAAAGGCGCCTATAAAAAAAAAAAAATACAGCTGTTTGGTTTTGTAACACTTTTTCAAGTTACAGTACAAGTTAAGTTTTTGTTACATTTGGACAGAGTGAAACTACCTGGAAACCCCCCATTTCCAGTGTTTATACTAACCTAAGTAGATGACAGTTATTTCTTTGGCAACTGAATCTATGCATCTTTTTAATGCAGTAACTCTGAGCTGGCTCATAGGTTTACTCCCTTTGTTTACTCCCTTTGTGCTCCTGCCACTTGTTAGAGTGACAGATGTTCAGATGGGTAACAAAAAAAGTGAAAACCGTAAGAATATATACAAATCAAAACTAAATCAGAATGTGGTGATGTTGGTGGTTTAATTTACTTCCATTAAAGGAGCTAAAGCACAGAACATGTAAGATTACTTTTATAGTGCATCTTAGCAAAGAAATATCACTGACACATTAAAACAAGCAGACACAGGTTAAGAAAGACAGTGCTATGTTCAACACTTCACAGGGTTTCCTTGGTAAATATAAAGGTAGTAACAGCATAATAGCCATCTATCTGAAACATGTTTGGCCACAAAACAGAGATTTCTGGAACTGAAAGAGGCAAGTAGCAACTTGTTTGCACTGCCAGCATCTCTGTGGCTTCGGTAGATCTGTGGAACAAAAACAAGTACTGCTCTACGCAGCTGGCTTTCTCTCTCTCATATCCCCTCTCATAAGTATGACACATGCAGACACAGACAGATTATTGATGTCAAGTTTTTATATTTTCACTCTTCTGGGAGCCTAAAAGTAAAAAAGCTGTGGCATAATTTCACTCAATTTCTATTTTTTTTATTTACTCTGTTTTTTCCTGTGGTCTTTTCCCCTACCATCTCTGACAAAGAAGTTTGTTTTTTGAATTCATTTGGTGATGGCTGTTACATTTCAAGAATAAAAACTAAATGTGAATCTGCCTGGTGTAGTTTGGCACGTCACTTCTAAAACTCTCAGCTGTTACAAATAAATGGCTGTAAGCCATTGAACTACAAGCATAATATTTTTCCAAACTAGTGCCGTAAGCAAGACAACACACAGGAAATCTAATTCTTATTTGTTAGACCGAGTAACTAATAAATAAGTTACTAAATTAATTACTAAATTAATACGTGTACGAATACTGTACAGTATGAATGGGTTTAATTCTTTTGTATTTGTCATTTATCGCAGGCCATGCACAGGGATAATCTGCAGCAACATCTATGTCAAACCCTTAATCACTCATTCATTTTACTCTGGCTATAGCAAAGCATGCGTGGGCTATACAAATCTCTGAACTGGTTTGTCCAGTTGTTGCTTCCACCTGAACCGATTGTTTTTCACCTGGAGTAAGAGTTAAGAGCCTAATGCACCTTGGATATGGACCTGGAACTGATCTTTTTTTTCCTGCATTTTACCCAAAAGTTACAGCAACCTTTAAAAGGGAATTAGAGGACCCCTCCAAATACAGCGTGTTTTACCGTTTTTCAAAATACTTAAGAATTTGTATCATATGTTGATTCCACAAAAAAAAAAAAAAAAACTGAAGTAATGTGTCTAAAAATCTTACAAGTTACATCTTTTCTTCGTCCTTCATGGACTAATCTAGATTTGATTAACAATTGGACGTGTTTCCTACATTCCAATTGTATGTGCTGGAGATTTGAAGTTTGCACATCATAAAAACCACCTTCTGGTGTTACCAACGGTACAGGGGAAAAAGCTTTAAAGAGCTTTAAAGAGGTCACTTGTACAAACTAAGGAAAACTGCATCTGAAAACTACTGACAAAATTCTCAAGTATAGGTTCTTTTTTTTTTTTTTGGTGGAGAGGAGGGGACGTTCTGTGAAGTGTGGTACAACAACACACTGGCTGAGGAGCAGTGTCCTTGCAGGGAGAGATAATTACACAGAATAGAACAAAGTGTGTGCAGAGGCAGACAGCTCCTGGGCTACATACGGTATTGGGCAAGCAGGGCACCCAATGAGACAAACAACAGTGACAGACTTGCAGGAGGACTGTGCAAAATTACAACTATGTCATGTATGAAGAGTAACTGAGCACATTCAATACTGAGAAGAACTCATCTGCCCTGCAGTGCTGTGTGAACAACGCATCAGTTTGATGAAATGGCACCTTACTATGTATGCATGTATGTGTGTGTGTGTGTGTCCCAGTTCAATATGCATGCAATAACTTGTTTTGGTGCTTCAGGAGAAAAGACTGGTGCAGTCCCATTGTTCTTGAAGACAAGTGCCAAGAATGAGGGACTGATTTGGGCACTGTGCCTCTGTTACATGGTATCCTGTTACAACACCTAAACAAGGAGAGACAGACTGTGATGTCTGACTGACTCATCTAGGATCAAATGTATGAGGAAAAAAAAAAGGAAGCTTCACTATTATTGCGCTCTCGAGTAGTACTTAACCTCGCCCCAGCTAGTGCCTCTCATGTATTACATACACTCGAGTTACAGATAATCTTCCGTGAACGTGCAAAATTGAGACTTGCCGACTGTTTTTTCATCCTTTTACCCAAATCCTGAACTATTTCCCAAATGCTCAGACTCTTCCAATGATGTGGAAATGAAAATAATCCAGTCCAGTCCACGAAAAATCCTGTGCTCCACTGCATTCACATCCTGTGAATGGAATATTGTTGGGATTTTGACTGTTAGTTGGACAAAAATAATTTTTTATTGCCACTTAAAAGTTGTGGTAACTTGTAATTGGCTTATTTTATTCTATTTTACATGGTATAAACTAAATAATTATATTAATTGTAAAATTAAACTAATAGATCAATCAATATTGGCAAAGGTATTAGCTGAATCCCAAATTCAGACTGGTCAAAACCCAAAGCCACAGATAACAAATGATAGAGATACATAACAGAAACCTTTCACGGACTACTCTTCTGCTTTCATTTAATACTACTTAAGCTCTCAAGCACCAAGGCGGCTTAAAGAAAGCATCTGTGTTTGTCATTAGTGTATGCTCAATGGTTTCCTTCTTATCAGGAAAACACCGATTATGCTACAGTGTTTTCAGCAGTGACTCAATTAATTAACCCTGACAAAATACATACACAGCTGTACACCACAATTATTTACACCTTACTAATGCAGGAACTCTTCTGACTCACTATGGTCTCATCGGTGCTGCTGCATAAACAACATTTTGTGGCACCTACCAAGCACAAACATGACTGTCTTGATAAGCTTAAAAGGCGTCCTCTTGCGGTTGATGGAGCCTTTTGTGTGTGCCATGAGCATTGACGTCTTCCTCTTTACATAGGCGTAGATCCTCATGTAGATGGCCACCATGATCAGGAACATCAGCAGGTTAGATGCAGAAAAAAAAAAGCTGAAGATGGGAGCCAGCTGAGAGCAGTCACTCAGGTTGCAGATGCAGTTCCAGCCCAGACTGGGCACAGCCCCCATGAAGATGGAGACGGCCCACACCAGAACAATCAGCAGGGTGACCCTTCTTTTAGTCAGGTTGCTATGAACATTCCAGTTCACGACAGAGATGTAGCGCTCCAGAGCTATCATCAGCAGGTTAGACAGAGAGGCCGAGAGACTGACGTCCAGCAAACCTTGGCGGATGTAGTATCCTTTAACTGTCAGTGTCCGTGACACCTCACCTGTGTTAAACATGAGGTACACATACGCTATGCCTGCAAGGAAGTCCGAGGCAGCGAGGTTGGCAAGAAGGTAGTAGAAAGGGAAGTGAAACTTCTTGTTGGTGATGACAGCAGCTATGACCATGGCATTAGCGCCAAGGATGAAAAAGCAGAAGAGAGAGCCCACCACCTGGACCAGGATGAGCTGTGTTTTGTCCCATTTATCTTCCGCGCCAGTGTTGTTGTAAAAGAAGCCCATGGACTCATTATAATGACAGCTGTAATTCTGCTGGGCCATTTTAGAGGCGAGTCTGTAAAAGGAAAAAGCACAGCAAGTGGAACAGTTTATTAAGAAATGTTAATACCTTGTGACTGCCTCTTCCTTAGGGTATAAAGTGAGGCTGCAAGTTACAATGACAGCGTTATGATGTGCCAGATATTCTCTCGACTAATCAATTAATATTTGGTCTACAAGGTGTCAGAAAACAGTGAAACACAGGAATTTCCTACAATCCAAAGTGGTCTATTTGGATAGCTTATTTTATTGTTTATTGTCGGTTTTATCTGTCTACTCATTTGAAAAACACAGTATTTGCAGTACATTTACATTATGCAGTTTTTTTTTTTTTGCTGGGCAGCATCACTGCATGGTGTATATTCAGTATAATGCAGTTTGGGGAAACTCAACTTATTCAAGTATAACAAACAAAATAATAGAAATTGTATGACTTGACCTCACATATAATTGAACCATTTACTGGGAAGAAGCCGCTTTGAACAAAAAATAACAGTCTTTTCCTTAACTAAAGTTGGACAAGACAGTGACTGTAGTAACATTAAATTACAACCAAAACAATACGCTCAGTTAAATAGAAAGGGAAAGCTCCATAGACTTACATTCTGTGCTAAACACCACAGATACACCGCAGATCGAGATTTCAACGCCAAAGCAGTCCAAAGTACAGTTTTCTACATAACCTGAGAAGCTGCCTTTGATTATCCAGCTAACTTTGCAACCTGTCCGACTTGGCAACAGCAAAGCAGGGTAGAAAAATCCCGCAGTGGGCCAAGTTGTGGCTGACGGACAAAGAAAAAATAAAGCTTTTATGAAATAAAGCAGACTACACCGACAGGAATGACAGAGTTACTTAGAAGACCATTTATTCAGATGAGCTTACCTTGGGTGGTGAAGGGCTGCCGTGTTGCGTCAGTAGACTAAAAGTTGCGAAATATTTCGTGCCGAGTTAACATGCTTCCCCTGCGGCATACGCGCCTCCGCTGCCGTGGAAGGAGCGAGGTGACAGCAGCGGGAGAGAAGACGCAGTGAAGGCAGCGAGGTTCAGCGTCTTCACTTTGAGAGTTCACGTCGGTGACGTAGAGGCTGCGCGCAACCCGGTGCGCTTTCTAAGGATGTACCGATTGTACAAGGTTTACATCATTTAGAAGCTTTTAGAATACATCATTTGCTAAAGCTTTATCATTTAGAATCTCCTAATAAGAACAACTTTTGGGTTGCCAGATTGTGGAAACGTCCTGCTCCATAGTGGTCCAGATGTCCTGCAGCCGTTTTCCTGAGCCGTCAAATAGTCAGTTGGAGGGTTTTCCTTAATAAAGCTCAAAAGACAAGAGAAGTGTCCTGGTGGAGGAGAAAACTGATGTACAGTGGTGTGAAAAAGTGTTTGCCCCCTTACTGATTTCTTATCTTTTTGCATGTTTGTCACACTGTAATGTTTCAGATCGTCAAACAAATTTATATATTAGTCAAAGATAACACAAGTAAACACATCATGCAGTTTTTAAATGAAGGTTTTTATTATTAAGGGAAAACAAAATCCAAAACTATATAGCCCTGTGTGAACAAGTGTTTGCCCCCTAAACCTAATAACTGGTTGGGCCACCCTTAGCAGCAACAACTGCAATCAAGCGTTTTCGATAACTTGCCATGAGTCTTTTACAGCGCTGTGGAGGAATTTTGGCCCACTCATCTTTGCAGAATTGTTGTAAGTCAGCCACATTGGAGGGTTTTCGGGCATGAACTGCCTTTTTAAGGTCATGCCACAGCATCTCAATTGGATTCAGGTCAGGACTTTGACTAGGCCACTCCAAAGTCTTCATTTTGTTTTTCTTCAGCCATTCAGAAGTGGACTTGCTGGTGTGCTTTGGATCATTGTCCTGCTGCAGAACCCAAGTTCGCTTCAGCTTGAGGTCACAAACGGATGGCCGGACATTCTCCTTCAGGATATTTTGGTACACAGCAGAATTCATGGTTCCATTTATCACAGCAAGTCTTCCAGGGCCTGAAGCAGCAAAACAGCCCCAGACCATCCCACTACCACCACCATATTTTACTGTTGGTATGATGTTCTTTTTCTGAAATGCGGTGTTACTTTTACGCCACACATAATGGGACACACACCTTCCAAAAAGTTCAACTTTTGTCTCGTCTGTCCACAGAGTATTATCCCAAAAGTCTTGGGGATCATCAAGATGTTTTCTGGCAAAACTGAGACGAGCCTTTATGTTCTTTTTGCTCAGCAGTGGTTTTCGTCTTGGAACTCTGCCATGCAAACCATTTTTGCCCAGTCTCTTTCTTATGGTGGAGTCATGAACACTCAGCTTAACTGAGGCAAGTGAGGCCTGCAGTTCTTTGGATGTTGTTGTGGGGTCTTTTGTGACCTCTTGGATGAGTTGTCGCTGCGCTCTTGGGGTAATTTTGGTCGGCTGGCCACTCCTGGGAAGGTTCTCCACTGTTCCATGTTTTCGCCATTTGTGGATAATGGCTCTCACTGTGGTTCGCTGCAGTCCCAAAGCTTTAGAAATGGCTTTATAACCTTTTCCGGACTGATAGAGCTCCATTATTCTCTTTCTCATTTGTTTTTGAATTTCTTTGGATCTCGGCATGATGTCTAGCTTTTGAGGATCTTTTGGTCTACTTCACTTTGTCAGGCAGGTCCTATTTAAGTGATTTCTTGATTGCGAACAGGTGTGGCAAGAGAAATTGAACTCAGGTGCGATAAACCAGTGTTTTGACAGGGGGGCAAACACTTGTTCACACAGGGCTATATAGTTTTGGATTTTGTTTTCCCTTAATAATAAAAACCTTCATTTAAAAACTGCATGATGTGTTTACTTGTGTTATCTTTGACTAATATATAAATTTGTTTGACAATCTGAAACATTACAGTGTGACAAACATGCAAAAAGATAAGAAATCAGTAAGGGGGCAAACACTTTTTCACACCACTGTAATTCGATGTATAGCATCAGTAAATAGTTTGAGTCAGATATAAAACTCTTCATAAACAGTCTTCTCACACTCAAATGGTCAGATTTTCTTAATGAACTTAATTTCTTAAAATTTTAATTTAGTTCAGAGATGTTCATTTATTCCAGTCTTGTCCTTAAAGTTTAAGTCAAACTCTATTTCTACTTCACAATGCGAACTACATAATGCCACTACATTCATTTCACAGCTTATTTAAATATTTACTTTTCAGATTAAGATTTACAGGATCTGTGCTAAAGATTAAACCAGTGGTTCCTTTCTTTTTGTCTTATGACTCCTTACATTATAGCAGTGCCTGGTTGGAGGCTGCTCATGTTTCAGATCTCAGTAAGTTGTTGGAGGTTCAGTCAATTCTCACCTTTTCATGTTTCAGGATCAAAGAAGTAAAACAGTCCAACCGCCCAAAAATCTCTTGCATTTAATGGCACGCCAGCTCATTAACAGGTGTCCACCTCTACTTCAGGCATTTTATCGTATCCCTTTAGATGGTATTACAGTACAGTGAGGAGACACACAGAGGGCTCATAACGCATAAACCCTAACAAGATGCTAGATCAAATTCGAGGGTTAAAATGAGACATGTTCCTGTGATTATCAAATTAAGTATCACAATCCAAGTGAAAAGCCATGCTCCAGCTTGCCTTCACATCTTAAGTTACTGGTAGGCCTTATGATCTGACTCATAATGTAATCATTCAGAAATCCCCTCTTTCACAATCTCAATCAAACTACAAATGTATTATGATATTAAGAGAAACCTCTGGACCACATGATATTTTTCTGGGCACATACATTTGCTGTACTGCAATGCCATTATAGTTCCTACCAGTGCTGGTATAAAATTGACCATGTAAATAATCCAGCTACTCTGCAGTGTTGACTGATTACTTGTGATCTGCTGTATGACTCAAAGCTCAACATGCACAGTTGTAGCAAAGACCATGAAGATACTCATACAAACAAGATTCTCTTCTGCAATCTTTACTACAACACTTGACAAATACATGACATTGTATAGATGGTGCTTGCAGCAGCACAAGTGCAAAACAACTATGACACATTTTCTTTGGCAGCTAATTCATATGCATGCTTTCACATCAATAACCTACTCTTTGTTTTTTCCCCGTCACATTCAGTTGGGAACTTGTTTGGCGTTTCATATTGCACTTAAATTCTTACATCTGGGGAGTTATTACTTACCTTCGCACTTCGGGATCGTTTTGTCAATGGGATACGAAACGAGGCTTGTCAAAGGAGGCTGCCGTCAGAGGGGAGACTGATGTTTGCCAGAGCGCTGGAAATAGCGCTAAACATGGAAACTGCCGAGAGAGACACGCAAGAATTAAGGAAAATAGAGGAACACGCAAGCGGAGTGCACCGCGTGCAAGTAAACACACAAATATATGTAGATAATATGCATACTTTACAGTAGGCCGTTAATAAGAATGTATGAAATTGATGTATCAGTAAATTACTACATTGTATTTGTTCTGTTATCAATCAAGGCTGTTAATTATATTCTAAAACATTAAAATCCATGAAAACTTGGTTTAAGTATTTTTGCAACATTAAAAAGTCATGTCTAAATAAACAAACTGAAGATAAATGTTCTACAGGCATTTGGTTTTGATAAGTGAACAATGTCAACATTTACGTGTAGGAAAACTCATGTTTTTCCATCTTGCATGTTGTAGATTTAGTTCAACAGGCCTCTTCTTCATTAGGATGGGTACAGCCTGACAAGGCCTGCTTGAAAACTGACAGATTTAACTGAATAATCAGTGTGAATAAATGTATTTGTAATGCTTTCAAATGGTTTCCTTTATTGAAGCAGCATCCCAAGACCTAAAGACAGTCTGTTTATCACTAGACAACAAAGACAGACAGCAAATTGTCACTTTCTTCTGACCAATCGGCGCAGAGAAGTACAGTACGTTACACAACCACGGTTTCCAATTAAGCCTGGTTCAGCTTAACAAGTATCCCAGAGCGTTTTAGGCATCGTGCTTTCAGCCATCACATCCAATTTGTTACTTAAAAAAAAAAAAAAAGCACAGGAATTCAACTTCAGCGAGACCCATGACTGCGTGTTCAGATCCGTCAGGTTTGTCTAAACTCTTCCTACATCATTAAGGCATTGTTGAGATAATCTCCTAGACAGATCACCACAGTCAGTCTTAGAGGTCAACCTGCACAAGCATGCATCCTTATTCAGAGATCTCACCTACATGCATGTTTGGCCCCAAGACAGACTATGTAGGAATCCAGGAAGACATCCGAGTTCTGGTGACTCCAAGAGCCCATTCTAAAGTAACCCCCCCCCCCCAAGCAAGCACTTTGAAAATAAAAGCCTTGTCACAATGTGTCTCAAACACTTGGCTGCTGCCTCTCAAAGGGAACATATCCCTGTTACCAATTAGACATTCGTCTCTTCATCTGCCATAAGCAGCAAGTTAACTGCAGACTCAGCCCAGTAGTTGCCTTGTTTCAGCTTTCACAAACTCACTCAAGAAAAGTGTGCTCAATTATTCTCTTGAAAAGCAAAACCAGTTTCAATATTTAAACCTATGCACAGCCTTTACCATACTTGTCCAACATTCAGAGACAAAACACTACAGCCAACACTTTATAGAGTGGTTCCAAATCATCATGAATACAAACTGAGGGCGACTCTTGTTCCTCAACTTGCTCTCCAAATGCATCATTCTACTGGAAAGTTAATTGACATTAACTTGTTTGCTGAAAATGATCTAATTTTTGCAAGCACAGTAAGACAAAGATACTTACAAAATTACACCATCAGATCAGAGGCTGCCATTACACCATCAGTGTAACTTTACAGAAAGACTCATAATGACAAAGGTCAGCTAATTCTAAAAGGCCATTGGCAGTTTTGTGTTCAGCTCTATAGTGAAGATCCAGATTACCAGTGTTGTATTACATGGAACCATTACATTATGTCTGTAACAGAGACCACACTTCCTTAAACACTTAGACATCCAGAACAGGGATCCCACAATGTTGGGGGAGAAGAAAAAAAAAAAAAAAGTCAAACAAATGTCATAAAACAATAATGATGGCAGAGCCCTGAAAAGGAAAAGCTTACTGAGTCACAGTTTCATCCATAAATATGTACAGCAAAGTAAACGAATTCAATTTTTCTCACAGATTACAGGACTTTTTTTTTTTGTATTAAAATGGTACAAAAATTTTAGGGTTAGGTTAGCAAAATATAATGGTTTGACGGCAACCACGGCACAACCCCATTCAAATCACTACAGGAGTTTCTGGGATAAACATCTTTAGCACTCAGTCACAAAATGGTCTCACGCTTTTAAATAGAAGGATGATGATGGCTGCAGAAACCAAGATTGGTGCACGTTTATGATCAAGCCTTTTCATGAACCTAAAACTCAGCTGACTCAAAACAAGGAAAAAGAATAATAAGATTTTAAGAATCTTTCAGAGCACAGAAACCAGGCTAGTGAAGTACCACAAGTCTGGTAGAAACAGACTTAAAGAGGAAGCAATGATATCTCAGCAAACATGAAGCGGTACATAAAAATTGCACTGTAGGTTCAAAATGTATGTGGTTAAATAAAAACATGAAGAAAAAAAAATCAAATCTGTGACTTGGGTATATTAGGAAAATTGTCAAACATGCCT